AGAAAATGTTTTGAGAATGATGAGGGCAATGAATGTACAAATGTGCTTGCCACAATTGATGTATGTATGGATTGTGATAAGAGTTGTATGAACCTCAAATAAAATGATTCTAAAAAAAAGATTAAGAGTTGGCTCCTCATCAGCAACTAGACAGGCAAGAAGGCACTGGAATGATGTATGCAAAGCCTTGAAAGAAAGCTGTCAAACAGAAATAATTAACCAAGTAAAATTATCATTCAAAAATGAGGGTAAAATTAGAATTTTCCCAGATAAACTAAAATTAAGGGAATTTGGAACCACTAGACCAGCTCTGAAAGAACTATTAAAGGGAGTTCTCTTGTAAGAAAACATGATACCAGCCCAACAATCCAAAGTGTTGACACTAAACAACCATCTTAATGCATATAATAAGATAAATTTACAAGGAGATAGGGGATCTGGACTACACAATTATGATCAACAATAACAGAAATAAAATGGAGGTGATTGGTATGGAGCTCTCACATGTTAAAAGGAATCTGAGTGATTTGGTAATAAAAATTGTCAACAAAATAATAATAATAACAAAGGAAAAAATATATTCCTAAAAAGAACTCAGCTCTGAAGATAAAGAACAAAGAAGCCATCGATCTCACCAGAATCAGGGGTGGATATAAGGAATGTTTAATAAGATGTTTGAAATAGATTCTTCTCTATTGATAATTGATGGCACTGAATATAAATGGATTAAATATTCTAGTCAAGGAAGAGTGGTAGACTGGGCTAAAATAGTGACACACCTATAAGAGGCACAGGTGTGTAATAGATTAAAGTGTGGGGGGAGACCCTCAACGTAACAAGTAAGTATAATACAAAGTGAACAGAAGTGGCAAAAATAATAGATGACAATACTCAAGCTTTAAGTCACAATTTACGAGACAGAAAAGGCCATTATCTGCACCGCTTTTGATGATGGCTGGAAGAGTTTTAAAAGGGAATAAAGAAACAGAAGAACCTGCATATTATTAACGATTTTAACCTAACAGACATAAAGCATGCCACTCAACAGTTGCACGGTACACATTCTACTTCATTGCACATATGTTTGGTGTAGGCTATTGTCAGACACAAAGTAAATTTCAGCAAGTTTAAGAAGATTGAAACTGTATAAAGCATTTGACCATTAAAGCATATTTTCTCAAATAACTGCCTGTTACTTCAAATAAACAACTGGTAGTGCCCATTGACATGAAAAAATGTAAGTTACTATGCAGAAATTAGGATTATGGGGAACAATGTCCTGCCACCAGCTTCTCTTCAGTTGCGCTAGATGATAAAATTAATGCATGTAAGCTTTTAAAATAATGTCATATGTCAATATTTAGGAATAATGAATATTGTATTACTTTGTGAGCCAACATCTTCCAAGTGTTGTTACTAAAAATCCATTTTAATTGAAAGAGTCCAATTGATTTAATGTAGTAGTATAAAAAATATTGATGAAACTACCATTTGTCAAGTTCAGGTGTTATATCAAAGAAGTATAATAATTTGCCTAGAATGATATCAAAATCTTTGTCTCATTCGCTCAAAAATAACCCCTGAGATCATATTAAAGTTAGCCTGACAGCCTGAGCATTATCTTATTTTAGTACCAGTATTAAATACCAGTGGGATCAAATTTACAACACATAGTTGAAAGATTATAGAGAGACCTTATGGTCTGGCAAGGCTTATTTCCTGCAAGACATCCCTGAGGAGAAGCCACATGGTCCTTCCTCGATGCAGCCCTGGGTGCTGAAGCAGCCACGTGGGGACCCCTACCATCACTGAAATGCTTACACGTTCACTGACTCGGCTTTCCTCCTGCAGTCGGCATCATTGCATGTGTTTTGTGAGATGGAGGAGGACTTTGTGGACTGGTGTCGGACATATGGGCTAATGGTGGATTTGTGGGCTTGGGCAGCACTGGGTTGGGATGTTCTCTTGATGTGCACTTACTCTTTCTATAAAACTCTCTCTTATATATATGAGTTTCTGTGGATTTGTTTCTCTAATGTACCTCGACTAACACTAAGACCTTCAGTTAGATGGCTTGACACAGTGGCTACAACAATAGACTCAAACAAAGCAATGACTATAAGGATGATACAAACCAGTAATGTTTCTTTCTGTTGTACAGTGGGTTTCTATGAGTCAGAACTGACTTGATAACACCTCACAGTAACACCATTTCTGTAGTTGGATCTAACATAACATAATCACATTCCATAATGTAATAAAATGTAATCTAATCAGTTTCCACCGTTACATCTAATTTCATATAATCAATTGAAGTTACAGTACTTCTGAGTTATTTTAAAAAGACCAGCATTGATAGAAACACACATTTACACATGGGAAAAGATAGATATTATGTGATGATTGTCTATAAGCCAAGAAACAAAGTATCCCCTAAACTAAGGTGACCAGATTTTAACATTGGTAAAGCGGGACACCATTGATAAAACTCATGTGGCGAAATAGCCACATGGCAGCCGAAAACCATATACCCTAGCTTGTCATGCATTCTTTCCAAAAATTGGGACTTTTTAAAACGCCACGGGATGCGGGAAAAATTGTTAAAAATCGGGACTGTCCCGCCAAAAGCGGGACATCTGGTAAACTAGCTAGAAGAAAGGGATCAACACAGTCAAGACCCTAATTTAGCCTCCAGAAAAGAGGTGAGACCTGTTAACAGGCACTCCTTGCTGGTTACGTAGTCAAGTATTGATGATAATGACAAGATAAAGCTGTAGTTGACGTTTATTGGCCGTGAATAACTCCTGGGAGAAGGGAGAGGTGGCATCACCAAGTGATGTGTCAGTGAACTTGAAGATAGAATCCTGAAATGTATTCCAACTCTCATCCACTACTTCTGACCCTAGACTCAGCACTTACTTTCATACCTTAATTTTTCCATTTATGGAATCAGGCTAACAATATTACACATATCCTGGGATTAAAATAGGGTTGATGAGAGGCACCTGACCCTAATTTAGATATATAGTTGGGATATTTTCAGTCACTGATTTTTACAAGTGGGACTTTAGCCTGGTTTCAATCAAAGGAGAAGTGGCCAAAGACAGGAAATTCCAATTACCAAGAAGAGTAGACAGAACCAAGGACTATAAGGGCAGAGGAGATGTAGCTGGATGGGGTGAGTAGCATATGGTAGTGAAGAAGGAAGAAGAACACATCTTTCTAAGAGACAACAAAAAATGAGGGTATTGATACAGTTATATAATGAGATAGGGAGATAAGAAAAATTCATATCCAACTACACAGGGTTCCCAGAGGAAATGGAGTCACTCAGACACTCTAGAAGAATAGAGGCGCTTGAGTTCCTGGGAGTCTCCGAGGAATATTCTGGAGTCAACAAAGGCTTGGCCAGATGGAAGTAAAATGCCCTCCTCTCACTCACCTGCACAAACATCCTCTGAACCTGGTGATTGCTCTCCAAAAGCTCATCATTTTCCAGAGGAAAAACAAAGAATAGGTAAAGGCACTGTAGGAACAGGGCTGGGAGTCTGGATTCAGTAATGCGGCCCAGTGTCTCCTGGAAGGGAAGATGAGATATGACAACACACAGGTATAGGCTGGGGTGGGGGGGGAATCAGAACTTACTTTACTTTACTTTCCCTCTCTGGATGTCACAACTAAAATAGAGAGCATCATGAAAGTCAGCTTATCTATCATAAAATAGAGACAATAATTCTAAGTACACTCAGAGCTAACCACTACCTTCTCTTACTGCTTTGAAAAAGCAAGTCCCTATATTGTACTCTCACCACTGAGAATGAAAATAGTCTTTTCCAGAGGCAGCAGAGACTTGTTCTGCTTCAAGTCATTGTACCTTACAGGTGTTCTGACAGGTTATGTCAAGTAGTAGTCAGTTTGTCACTTGGTCAACCTCAGGTATCAGCCTCCAACCTCTTTCTGCAGTAACAGTCACAAAAAACAAAACAAAAAAATCAACCACTATTGATAGGGACAATGAAAGTTTCCTGACTGGTCTTATTAATGAGTCCTAGCCAACTAGGGACCACCATTTGAATCCCAGTCAACTAGGGACCACCATTCGAGTCCCAGTCAATTAGGGACCACCACTTGAGTCCAGCCAACCAGAGACAACCCTCCTTTTTTGGAAAGAAAAAAACACACCAATCCAGGCCTGAACTCAATGGCCCCTGCCAAACATATAAGAAGGTCACTACTCTTGATTTTTTGGTAGTATAGACCCACTGGGGGCCTGCACCCAGCATATTCTGACTTTACTGCTTAATACTGTTCCTTGGTTGTCTGTGTTGCCACCACACCACCTCACCATTTGAGAAGGCAGCACCAGGGTCCCTATCCACTGAAAAAGGGATCCCAATACCCCTAGCACTATGTTTCCTCATAATAATGGGGATATTAGGATTAGTATCCTATTGTGTCTATTATTTTCTCCAGCTCTAAACACAGCTGAGTTTCAGATAGATAAAACCAAAAACAAAGGAATTGAAGCTGATTTCAGACTTTGATCTTTAAGCTCTCTATGAGAATGGGAATAAGAAGATAAAAATAAATAAAAAACAAAACAAACAAATAAATACGTTTTATGGCAAAAGAGAAACCCTCAGGACATGCAATCATTGTGGCATCCCCTTGCATAGTGATGATAAAGGTCCAGGGCAGAGACCTTGAACTTACCGAGTCTGTCCCTGTGAGCACATATACAGACTTCAGAAGCAGGTAATCATCCTGGTCCATATCCCCCTTCCATTGTAGCAATTTTCCGGTCACTGCCCGTGCTTGCTCTGTTAAGAGTGCAGGAAATGAAGAAAGTGTGACTAACAAGTTAAGTGGGACCTGCCACTCAGTTCCCCATCTACCCAGGAGCTTCTCTGCCCTTCAGATATGTCAGCAACTTTATGGGAACCCTACCCCCTGCCCATTCCATACCCAACATCACATGAATTTATAGAGAATATTTCACATTCTGCCAGTTTCAACTCATTAAAGGACCATCTTTATCATGTTTAGCATCTATCAGTAGACGGATATTGCCAAATGAATGAGAACAAATTCCTCGGATATGGGACTTCTTTTAATTCAGAAGGTTTTCCTTCTGCTTGCATTGCACAGCTCCTCACGTATCTGGATACATTCAAAAATTCAGACGTTGCTTGACTTGTTCTGCCCTTGACATTCTCTCCTCCCTACAAGTCCTGCTTATCCTCCAAGGTCTGTTTATTAAAGAGTAGGAAATGCAAGCTAGGAGACTCCACAGCTGATAATATACTTTGGTCTTTATCTACTTTCTGCCATGCTAACTATTGATCAAACAGGCAGCTCTCTTCCTTATGCAAAAAAAAAAAAAGCCTACTCCCGTCCTGTGTGGGTGTGTAAACCAGGGGGCAGCTTAGATCAAAGCAGAGTCTTACTCCAGGAGCAGTTGAATCCTCATCCTCCCAAAGCCTTTTCCTTAGAATTAAGTTCCACTCACTGATGGAATTTGTTCATTGTAATCTTTGGAAAGCTCTACTCTATAAAATTCCATAGGAAAGCAGAGAGAATTGGCCAGAGGACTGGTTGGGCCTTCAAAGATAACCAATATACTAATTTGCCCTCCAGAAAGTCTTCTCTAGCACTGGTGTTCTCTAACCTGCAGGTTTTCCAGCAAGGGCCATCTGTATCTCTTCGGCCAGTTGGTGAGACACATCTTCTGCCAGCATTTGAATACTGGGAAAGCAGATGATCCCCACAGAGTGCTTCCAGGCCTAAAGGGCAGCAAAAAGTGAGCTCAACAAAAAGTTGGCCAAAAAATCAATGCCACCCAAACCAATGGTTTTATTCCCCTTCCTCATATACATTAAAAAGGACACACATTGATCCAGCCTTAGTTTCAACTCTATGCCAGTGCCCCTTAAGTCTTAAATTTTCTATTGCGCTCCAGACCCCCATGTCTAATTCATCACAAAGTATCTGCCACAAACGCACACATTTGAAATATAAAATACATATAATCCAATCCACTGCCTTCTCCCCCAAGACCACTGTATCATCCCTCTATCCCTTGCATCCATAAACAGTTTCACTATGCAGCATTAATTCCAAAAATGATTATATTCTCCAGGTCTCTTTCTCCCTTACCTTCCTTACCCTTTTGATGGTTAAGTCTGAGAATTCTTCAACAGCTCCCAAATTATGTGAAAATATCTTCCTTTATTTGAGTCATTTGTATATTTCATTTGGATAAATTTTTAAGTGATTAAAGCATAAAGTGGGAACTTTTTAAAAAGAATTTCTAATACAGATTCCCAGATTGTTCTCAGAAGAAAGAAAAAAAGTTGACCAGATGGCACTTGTGTAGACTCTATGAGAGATTTCTGGTTTACTATACCCACAACTACATGGTATCTGCTCACGCCATTCTTCTTTACCTTTGCCAATCAGATAGAGTAAAACAGTTGAATCTAAATTGAAGTCTTTGGTTACTAGATTGAGCAGGTTATTTTTATACTTCATGACTTAGCTGAGTTATTTTCTTCTTCCATTTTTAATTAGCCTAGTAATCTATTAGGTTTTTCACTATTATTGATTTTTAAAATATGAATGTTAACTCTTGGGCAATTACCATTATATCCAGTTTGCCATTTGTTTTGTTTTGTTTTGTTTTGAAATCAGTTTATTGGGGGCTTATACAACTCTTATCACAATCCATACAAACATTCATTGTATGTCAAGCACATTTGTACATTTGTTGCCTTCATTGTTTTCAAAACATTTGCTTTCTACTTGAGCCTATGGTATCAGCTCATTTTTGCCTCTCTCTCCCAGCTCCTCACTCCCTCGTGAACCCTTGATAATTTATAAATAATTATTATTTTGTCATATCTTACACTGTCCGATGGCTCCCTTCACCCACTTCCCCCAGGGAGGAGGTTATATGTTGTCCGTCCCCCAGGGAGGAGGTTATATGTAGATCCTTATAATTGGTTCCCCCTTTCTACCCAACCTTCTCTCTACCTTCCGTGGCTGTCCACGTAGTTGGGATTGGGGCCTCACCCTCAGGCCCCTCCACTGGCTCCCTGCTCCATGCCTTGCCATTTGTTTTTTTGATATTTTTATTTATTTCCTTTTGTTGTACAGCAATTTGATATTTATATAAAATAAAATTTTTAAATGTGTTTCTTTATCTTTTCTGGCTTTAGTTTCAGTTTACAAAATTCTTGCCCAGCCCAGGATATTTTTATTTCTATATAGTCTTTTTAATTTTCTTAATTTTTGTCTTATCTCTCCTTCATTTCTTTGTTACCTGGTCATCATTTTCCTCAATGCCCCTCCTCCACTGTTTAGGATCCTATTTAATAAAAGCCATAACTTCGAAAATTGTATTTGGGATGCTGGAATACCCACCTAGTGTTTGTACCAATCCTGTTAATAACTTGCCTTTCATTTGAGTTTTCAAGATGTCCTGGTTTTCCTTTGTTTTGGCATATTGTCACAGACTGAGTTTACTAGTCCTGGGATGAGGAGAGTTCCAGTCTAATGGCCAGATGACACTGCCAAGGAGTGGCATTCTGGAAGTATCACAAAGTAACTGCCATTTCTGACTCCCACCAGAAGGATGAGCTATTCAATATATTGCTAACATTGTGCAAACTACATGAAGGATAATTTTACTCTTCACTTTTAATTACAGCTATGTTAGATAATATTAATTATAATATAAAACCTAGATATATATTTTTTAAGTTCTCTAATTTATTTCACCTAGGAAAAGTGAAGAAGGCATCAAAATCCCAAAGAAATAATTTCTACTCTTGTCTTGATGCAAATAATATGGTTGTTAGAAATAAAACATTTAGAAAACGTTTCTATATTAAAAGATATTATAAACCAAGTGAAGAGGCAAGCCACTGATTCAGAAGAGAAATATATGTACAATTTATAAACTGACAAAAGTTTAGTGGCCAGTTTTTTTTAAAAATTATTTTATTGGGGCTCATACAATTCAACACAATCCATACATACATCAATTGTGTAAAGCACACCTATACATTTGTTGCCCTCATCATTCTCAAAATTCACTTTCCTCTTGGGTTCCTAGAATTAGCTCCTTATTTTTCTTTTTGCCCCCCCCTTCCTCCCTGCTCCCCCCTCCCTCATGAATCCTTAATAATTTATAAATTATTACTATATCTTATCTTACATTGCCCAGCATCTCCCTTTACCCACCCTTCTGTTGCCCATTCCCCAGAGAGGAGGTTATATGTAGATCCTTGTGATCGATTCCCCCTTTCTACCCCCTCTTCCCTCCCGGTATCACCACTGCCACCGCTGGTCCTGAGGGATTCATCTGTCCTAGATACCCTGTGTTTCCAGTTCCCATCTGTACCGCTGTGCATCCTCTGGTCTAACCAGGTTTGCAAGGTAGAATTGGGATCATGGTAGTTGGGGGGAGGAAGCGTTTAAGTCATTAAAAATCTACCAACAAAAAAAGCCCCAGGGCCATATAGCTTCATAGCAGAATTCTACCAAGCATTCAAGGAAGAGTTGACACCAATCCTCCACAAAGTATTCCATAACATAGAAGAGGATGGCAAACTCCCAAACTCATTTTACGAAGCCAGCGTTACTTTGATACCCAAACAGGGCAAAGACCCTACAGGTATAGAGAATTACAGACCAATATCTCTAATGAACATAGAAGCAAAAATCCTTAACAAAATATTGGCCAATAGAATACAAAAGTATGTAAAACATATCATCCACCATGACCAGGTAGGATTCATCCCAGGGATGCAGGGATGGTTTAACATCCGAAAATCCAACAATATTATATACCACATTGAAAAGAAAAAGGATAAAAACCATCTGATAATATCCACAGATGCAGAAAAGGCATTTGACAGTATCCAACACCCATTCCTAATCAAGACACTCATGGAAATAGTATTGGAAGGTAAGTTCCTCAAGCTGATACAAGCTATCTATGAAAGGCCAACGGCCAACATCATAGTCAGTGGAGAAAAGACAAAAACAATCCCACTGAAAATGGGTACAAGACAAGGATGCCCCCTATCCCCACTTCTAGTCAATATTGTTTTGGAGGTTCTGGCTAACAACATAAGACAGCGAAGGACATCAAAGGGATCCAAATGGGAGAGGAGGAGGTGAAACTATCACTATTTGCAGATGACATGATCCTGTACATTGAAAACCCCAAAAGCTCCACAACAGGAGTACTTACAGCGATAGAGGAATATGGAAGAGTAGCAGGATAAAAGATCAATATACAGAAGTCGGTAGGTTTGCTATACACATCAGACAGGACCATAGAAGAGGGGATTAAGAAGGAAGTACCCTTCACAGTAGCCAAGAGCAAACTGAAATACCTAGGAATATATTTAACAAAAAATACTAAAGACCTATACAAGGAAAGCTATGAGACCCTACTACAGGAAACCAAAAGCGACCTCCACAAATGGAAGAACATCCCCTGCTCATGGATCGGAAGGCTTAACATAGTAAAGATGACAATCCTACCTAAAGCACTTTACAAGTTCAATGCCATACCAATTCAAATATCATCAACCTTCTTCAAAGAATTGGAAAAACTGACCACCAATTTCATATGGAGAGGGAAGAAACCCAGAATTAGCAGAGAACTCCTCAAGAAGAAGGACGCAGTTGAAAGACTCGCCTTACCCGATTTTAATGCCTATTACACAGCTACAGTGGTCAAAACAGCATGGCACTGGCACAACGACAGACACTCAGACCAGTGGAAAAGAATAGAAAGCCCTAGAATAAAACCATCAGCATATAGACAACTGATCTTTGACAAGGGTCCCAAAACCATCAAGTGGAAAGCAGATGCCCTTTTTAACAAGTGGTGCTGGAAACAATGGATAAGCACATGTAGAAAGATGGAACAAGATGTTTACTTCACCCCATGCATAAGAATAAGCTCAAAGTGGATCATAGACCTAGAATAAACCCCAAACCATCAGGACCATCAAGGAGGGTACTGGAACTAACCTAAGCACTGGCCCAGGGAACTCATAGGCTCACTACAATAGGGAAGGGTACATATGCAGGTGAAATGGAAATCGACAAATGGGATTTAATAAGAATAAAGTACCTGTGCACCTCGAAAAACTTCATTAAGAGGGTGACAAGACAACCCACAGACTGAGAGAGGATTTTTAGTAATGACACATTGGACAAATGGCTCATTACTAAAATCTACAACACCCTCTTGGCCTGCAAAAAGAGGAAAACAGTTAACCCCCTAAGGAAGTGGGCAAAAGAACTCAAGAGTCTTCACTAGGGAGGAGACCCTGATGGCCAATAAGCGTATGAGAAAGTGTTCCAG